GATTAGCAAACTAACACATACTGATATTTGCATCACATAACCAAGCTTGCTTATTAGCTCACCTGGTACAGTCCAGTAAAACCAAATTAAAACAACTTTCATCAGCAAGCCAAAATGGCATGGTTACAAATGTGTGTTTTTTTTGTCTAATGTTTGCTTATGTTAACTGTCAGTTAAGTTTAGGGAAAAGTTTAGTTTAGGTGATGCATTATATTCAAACGCAGAGCATTAACCTTAGACAACCACTCAACGGATATTTCAGTTACAAACTGCCACAAACACATACAGCAATCAACGTAATAAAATGTCAGATTCACGTTCATCTGTTGGATAACACTTTTAGCACCACTCATCGGACATTTTAATTTGAACGTGTCGCAAAACATGCAAGAAGCAATGTAATATCATTTTGCAGAAATGTTAACACAGGCACGCTTTTCCAATTAGTCTGGGTTAGAAAAAATAACGAGAATTACTAATCAAAACTGCTACAAATGCAAATCACATGCATTATTGATATGTAAATTCATGATATTTGCCCTTACATCATACATAATATACATTTGCTGTTAGGTTTGCTATTAGGTAACTCAGAGGGTCGGAATAATTGCACATCTATTTCTCTTGAAATGAGTTTCAATATGAAACAGGTAACTCGCTGTAGTATTGTTGCTGCCGCCATGTCGTGAAGGCGCTGTGTGCTTCGTTGTGAAAACACATACATTTACATTACACATACATTTAGACTCACTGTGAAACGGCTGACTGTAGTCAGGTCAAAATAATGTCGTACAAGTGACCTTTTATAGTTTGACAATGAGTCAACTAGACTGAAAGCTTATTGAGGGATAAAATAGCAGTTTAAAGGGCTGAGTGTTATATTGCAGAATAAACTAGAGATGGTGATTATAACAGCTGCAAGTCTGCGCCAAATTGGATCAGTCCCCGGTTTACTCCCTATGCTAACTGGGACGCCTCATCTCACGCCCTCATAAGTGTAAAATCAGCACCGTTTGGCTTAGATTCGACTGGATCCACAAATCATTTCTAGTAATAAACCTTCCAGACGTGTTATAGTCGCGATCATCGGACATTAACGCGTTTATGAACTCGTGTTCGGCATCTTGTTCGTCCGTTTCCGTCATCATCACACTTAGCCTTTTAGCACTGAGCTAGCCGCATATAAAAGGCATCTTTTATCTCACCGGAGTGGTTTTTAAAAAGGCAAATTTGCGGTATTGGCTCGAGAACGCATGGGAAATTAATAAACATATCGACTGTAAATACCAGAGGTGTTTTTGTGTGAGTATTTACCGTTTTTGTTACGAGGACACGCTTTCTTTATCTTTTCCTGTACGACCCCAAGGCCCCGCCCCGCAGACGGTGCCACGCCGCTAAGACACGCCCATTCTAGATCGTTTCCACCAATCAGAGGCTGAGACGCTGGAGTGACGTCCAAAAGCAGAAGAACAGCAACATATTTTTTGAATGACTTGTTAGTTGAAACAGACTTTCTTCTAAAATCTCTTTATTTAACTAATAATATAATATATGTCAGAGTCCTAAAACAGTGTAAGAAATGTTTTGGAGAAACTATTGACGGGGTTAAATTTACTTCCTCTATTTGCCAATGTTTCCCCATTTTATTTGATATAAGTGAGTGAGTGACGTGACATGTGGCCAAGTATGGTGACCCATACTCGGAATTAGTGCTCTGCATTTAACCCATCCTTAGTGCACACACACACAGCAGTGAGCACACACACAGCAGTGAACACACACACACCGTGAACACACACCCGGAGCAGTGGGCAGCCATTTATGCTGCGGCGCCCGGGGAGCAGTTGGGGGTTCAGTGCCTTGCTCAAGGGCACCTCAGTCGTGAAATTATATATATATATATATATATATAATAACTTTACTTATTTGTAATTAATTAATACATTTTACTTTTGGATGAGTGTGGGTTTTTTGGTTGTGTATGTTATTTTCCCCCTTTTTATATCTGAAATTTTATGTAGGTCCTCTTTAATGTTCCACTGACGGTGCACAGTATTTCTGTTTCTTCAATAAAAATATTGAATGACTGATATGTGGCTTCTTCATAAAAACACAATGCATTAAATGTCATTCTGTTTCTGTTTTAAGACATCATTCACCATATTAGTTTCTTGTGAAAATAGTCTAAAGACCCTGATAAATATATTAATTAAAAAAAAAAGACCATTTGTGATAATTTATCTTCTGGACTAGTCCACATCCAGTTTCCTTGTTTTGAGGTTTTACATAAAATGCAGATCTAAAGTGTTGATGACATTTTGAAAAACCCATTCTCTTTAGATTTTGCATTGTCACAATCCTGTTTAAAACATTATTTTCTTGACATTATAGCCGAGGTAAGATACGTAACATTTTAAAAATATTTTAGTTTCTATGCCCACCATTATATTGCACCACAAACCAACAACTTTCAGTTGTTATACAGCATATAAATATTTTGGCCCTGTCTGTTACATGCTGTTAATAGCACAATCATTAAAATAAGAAAGATTACATAAAACGACGTGCATAAACACTCAGCTTTATTGTTACACCCATATGTTTGCAAACAAAAAGCTAATTCTACAGGTTCACGCTTTTTCAAGTATTAGTTGAAAATACAACAAACCACTATATTATAACATATTTTTTTATTATAATATAGTTGAAGGGAGACAAATGTACAATAAAATTAACAGGATAACTATTGACAAAATGTTGTCTACTCCTCTCCAGAGGAGGGGAGAACAATTGTGCTGGGATCGTAAAAATTTTCAGTCATGAGGGGAAGACCCTCAGATTCCCTCTGTTTGATCAACCTTTCAGCTTCCCGACGAGCCCACTGCCTCATACTGGAGGAGAAAAACAAGACAGAGACAATAGACATTATGATTAAAAAAAAGGCAAACCATTATTCCTTTAGATTAAATAAAACAACGGAAAATGCACACACCAATGCATCCAAGCAAACCATTAATTTGGCAATTAATGTAGGTCAAGACAGAAATAGCTTGAAATTACAATGAGATATAAGCCTCCACTAGCCTTCACAACTGAGTTATAAATTTCATGGTTCACTCATGATATATAAAAACATATGTATTAAGGGTATTAAACTCTTGATTGGTCAATCACTGCAATCTGTACAAAATTTACAATCATTTCGTTCATGCACTTACCCATGATCTGGTAAATAGTGGATGAAAGTCCCTCCAATAACAATGGCCACAGAAATGCCAAAGAAGAATGCCAACTTCATGTTCCATTGATCCACAAAAGAGTCGTGATGATGGAAGCCATGGAAATCTGGATTCTGAAAAGACAAAGATGAACATTTGCCATTTATAAACCTGCATGTAAAAACAAGTCAACAGAAATATTACAGCACGATCACAGCAGCAGCAACACTATAACAAATTAAAATAATAGAACAGAATACAATAGAATAGAACAGAATAAGTAGAAACTTAGCAGGCACAGCTTCTGCATTATGCAATTCAATGCATATAACAAGGGGGAAAAATGCAATATAGGATTAGGATCATACAGTGCAATGTAAACATACTTGTCAGAGCACGTCAGACTTGATACAGTTTAGACTAAGATTTTAGGCAGCCTAACAGTATTCGGTACACGTTTGCCAATTACCCACTGTTAATTACTGTATATGCATCATACACATGTTTTTATGGTCCTCTTACCTTCTCAAACGGGCTGACCTCTGCGTGTCCATGGCTGTCCTGAGCAGCGGGAGACACGGGCTGCAGATCAGACGCCACCGCCGCGCCAGACGCGCTGGATTTCGGCGTCTGTGACACACAGCGGCTCCCGAGCGCTGCGCTCAAACGAACCCGGGACAGGGTGGGCCAGATTCGGCTCAGGCGTGAAGCCATTTTCCCCGATTTCTCCGTACCAGGAGCTGTTTCGAGACAGCCACTGTTCCAAGTTATTTTTTCCGGGTTAAAATTAGGTTCTGTAGGTTTTCTGTGAACCTTATCGCCACCCAGTGTCACGGATGTATTATAACGCAGAAACGGTTAGCTTAGCTGTAGGAACCATTGCTAAACAGCAGGTGCCTCTGTTTCGATTTCTTGTGTTTACAAAATCTAAACTGGACCTGTAGAATCAGTTTGAAAAATAACAGTGCTTTGTTTGGCAGCGAACTATTGTTGCTATATTCCACGTATTTAAATAGAATTTCTGTGCCATATATATATAATTATTTATACCATTACAACCCATGTGTGCAGTATTCAATTCACTATTTTTTAAAAATCTCATTTGACATTTATGCCTTATATTATCTGTATAAGAACACTGTACACATACTTTTCATATTATTCATTATTAGATATTCTTATATCATTCTGTTTTGCTTTTTGTAGATTGATATTCTGTGAGTACCAAAAGTTTCTGTCAAATTTCCTGTGTGTGTAAGCACTCCAATAGGTGCATAACACTCTAAACAGGTTGTGTACTTGATGGAATGTGTACTTGGTGAATACCTAATACACTATGATTTCATTAGCATTGGTTTGGTAAATTTATCTTTGAGGTACATTTGTGTGCCATTCAGTTGTCTTCTTGGGTTGGTTATCTGACTGCAGAAGCAGGAAGTTTTCAAAACCACAGAGCTTCAGCTCTTAAACATGTTCCTCCCTCACGACAAATCCAGTTTGCATGCATGAACATTTGCGAATCTCTTTTTCTCACATTTTAAAATATGCATGAACTCATTCTGGTGCTTAAGATTAGACAATCAGAACCTTTTTTTTTTTTTAATTTACCACAATAAAACATCCTGAAAAATGCTTAATATTTATTCAGTGTACATTTTAGTCTACATAAGGTTTTGAGTAACATAGGAGTCAATCAGATATTTAACAACTACAGTACAATACTTTTCAAACAATGTGATGAAGTGTACAAAAACATTACTGTTTAACAAGCTATTAACAAACAATGACAACATTAAAAATTATCATTTTTTAACGGCATGAGGTCTTTGCACCTTGTAAAAACAACTTTCCTTCATTCAAATCAGTCTTAACATTGAGAAAGAGAGAATTTCTTTTTCTTCTGAGGTCGTTAAGGTATTTCCATGTCTCCATTTGTAGACAAACACTTGTCAGATACACACCCTCCTCTGCTTTCCATGTTTTCTTTGCTTTCCTCATCCTGCTCATCTGATTTCTGCTTCAAACGTAGTCCTGGATCCTTCTGTGAAGGGATGCGAAAGCTGGAAAAAGATCCGCCTCCTGAGGACCGTTTTTCTATATAATGACAAACGCAAAGCGAGAAAATACAGGGAAGTTAGAGGGAGTTTTTTGATTGTGAAATCAACAACGCAAGGGTGAATTATCTTAAAGCAGCTGTCTTAAAGGGGTCATATGATGCGATTTCAATTTTTCCTTTCTCTTTGGAGTGTTACAAGCTCTTGGTGCATAAAGAAGATCTGTAAAGTTGCAAAGACTAAAGTCTCAAATCCAAAGAGATATTCTTTATAAAAGTTAAGAGTCAACCACGCCTACCTAAAACGGCTCGTTCTAACACGCCCCCACATGTCTACCTCACTATGTGGGAAGATTTGCATAACGCCACCCAAATGTTCACGCAAAGAAAGAAGGCGTAACTTTTA